ACCCACGAACCCGGAAAGCGATATAGACATGTGCAGCATGGTCACGTTTTCACGATACCCAGCTGGGCGACACCTCACGAAACATCCCACGAGACACCCCGCGAAACATCCCACGAGACACCTCACGAAACTTTCCACGAGACACCTAAAGAAACATTCCACGAGACACCCCGTGAAACATTCCACGAGACACCCCACGAACAGTCAACCACTCAACCAGGCACCCCACGAAACATTCCACGGGGGTGCGACTGGGTGTGGTCGTGCTGGGGTGTGGTCATGCTGGGGTGGGGTCGTGCTGGGGTGGGGTCGTGCTGGGGTGTGGTCGTGCTGGGGGGTGGTCGTGCTGGGGTTGGTCGTGCTGGGGGGGTGGTCGTGCTGGGGGGTGGTCGTGCTGGGGCGTGGTCGTGCTGGGGCGTGGTCGTGCTGGGGCGTGGTCGTGCTGGGGTGTGGTCGTGCTGTGGTGAGGTCGTGCTGGGGTGTGGTCGTGCTGGGTGATGGTCTTGCTGGGGTGGGGTCGTGCTGGGGTGGGGTAATGCTGGGGTGTGGTCGTGCTGGGGTTTGGTCGTCCTGGGGTGGGGGTAGGTTGTCGCTGGTGGTGGGTGTCGTGTGGGGTGTGTGTGGTCGTGTGGGGTGTGGTTCGTGCTGGGTGTGGTTCCGTGCTAGGGTTGGAGTCGTGCATTTCGCTTGACACATCCTGCCAAAATTCAAGGAAATCCTAAAACAGCAAGCGAATTAGTCGAGACATCCTCAAAATTCCTGCGCGCGGGACGCGGCACGCGCGAGACATCCTCGGAATTCATGCGCGTGGGGCGTTTTTCCGCGTCGCGGTCGGCTCTGCAAAACCAGCGTTTCGCTCGAGACATCCTCAACATATTCTGAAAACAAGCGTTTCGCTCGAGACATCCCCAACTCTGGCCAACCTGACCGCACAAGAACGGGAAGCGCCGTTTTTGCTCATAGCAGTGTTTGTCGTCAAAGCTCTGGACGCCAGCGTTCGTACTGGGAGCTCTGGCGTTCGAAGCTGCCCACGTCATCGTTCGTAATGGAGCCTTGGGATGTCGTGGTCGGTCTCTCGTAGGCCTCTTAAAAGCAATTCTGAAGCCTCTTGGGGGCCGTTTTTGGGGGCCGTCTTGGGGGCATCTTGGGGGCCTTTTTGGGGCCTCTTGGGGGCCTCTTGGAGCGTCTTGGGGGGCTCCCGGGAGCCTCCTGGACCCTCCGGGGGGGCACTTGGGGCCGAGGACCCGAAAAGTCCGTTCGTGTACCTCGTCTGGGCCCCCTCTAGGAGCCAGATTGACGGCCTCTTGGGCCGCCGCGAAGCCTCTTGGGGCCGTCTCGGGGCCGCCTTGGGGCCTTCTGGTGCCTTCTTGGGGCCGTCTTGGGGGCCTCTTGGGCCGTCTTGAGGCGATCTTGGGGGCCTCTTGGGCCGTCTAGGGGCGATCTTGGGGGCCTCTTGGGCCGTCTTGGAGCGTCGGGAAACGGAAAAGGCGAGAACCCCAAAAACCTTCACAAAAACGATTCAAAAATCATAGAGTTGTGCCTCTTTGGCGCTCATGTGAGGCCTCTTCGAAGCCTCTTGAGGCGTCTTGGAGGCCTCTTGAAGGCCTCCTGGGCCGTCTTGGAGCTCTCTTGGACCGTCTGGAAGCCATCTTAGGGCATCTTGGAACGCTCTAGGACGGTCTTGGAGCGCTCTTGGGCCGTCTTGGAGCCCTGGTGGCCGTCTTGGGCGCGTCTTGGTCAATTTTTTTGAGCGGGGTGACAATTTTTCTGCAATTTTCCGGAACCTGACCGGACAAGAACGGGAAGCGCCGTTTTTTATCCACCACGTGCGTCAGAGACCGTTGGCGAGAACGTCAGAGAAACCCATAAACGCAACAGAACAGACTAAATGGTGGCCTGCCGCGCTGGTCTGTCGAGGTAGTCTGCTGCCCTGGCCACATCATGGTGTCGACACCGTGCTTTTCTCTCGGCCACGCGGGCCCCCACCCGCTGTCGCCCAGCCTATTTTTTCTGTTCCAGCCTGTCTTGTCTTTTGTTTGTCCGTCGTCGTCGTCGCGTGCCTTTCCTTTGTCGTGGTCGTCGTTTTAATTATAATCGTCCGCTGTTGCCGTTCTCGCTGTCGCCGTCGTTATCATTTTATGATTGCGGTCGTTTTTCTGATTGTTTTTTGTTGTTGGATTCCGTGTTCGGTTGGTTTTTGTGTTATGTTTGTGGTCGTTTTCTGTCATCGTTTTTTTGTCGTAATTTTCGAGATCGTTATTGACGAAGACGACGACGACGACGACGACGACGAGCAAGAGGACCTTTGCCGGCTGGCTCGGGGTGCCCGCGTCCCTCTGCTGCCGCAGGCCGCCGCCAGCGAGTTCCGAAGTGCGGGCCCGTACCCCTTTGTTAGAGAAAAGTAAGCCCCAGAACCAACGGTGCACGCCGGAGGCGCTTCCCGTCATCCTCGAGTTCGTCTGGAGGCCGTCTCGAGGCCGTCCTGAGGACATCCTGGGCC